TAGTACGAGGTAGGTAGTATAGTATTAACTTAAATTAATACTAGTATACTCGCTATGTATTACTTATTACTTCTCTCTCCCCTCCCCCTTCCCTTCCTCTCTCTCTCTCTCTCTCTCTCTCTCTCTCTCACACACACACACCTAAGCAGAGACTTACATTGGCTTGGTAATATGGTGTTCAAGAGTAAAAAGCATGAGCTAGGACCTTTAGCCCCTTTCTTAGTGTGATAGTCTTGGTTTCTCTTGGATGAGGGTTCTGTCTGTTGAATTTTCAGGTATCTGAGAAGAAAGCAAGAGCATGGTGTGCTTCGAAGGGGAACATCCCATACTTTGAGACCTCAGCTAAAGAAGGTTTCAATGTCGAAGCTGCTTTCGAGTGCATCGCAAAGAATGCTCTCAAGAATGAGCCCGACGAAGAAATGTGAGTTCTCCAATCTCCCATAACTCAGATTTACTTATCACTCAGTTTGTGAAGTCCGGTCCATAAAATGAGAGCAACGCCACCCCATGGAAATAAAGTAAAAATCTATTAATTGAGATCTTCAATGACCAACTTAGTTTAGTTCTTGAATTTCGCTAATGCTGTTTTAGTCAATGGCGTTTTTGTAGTATATGACAGTGGGAGGTGGAGGTGGAGGTGGAGGTGGAGGTGGAGGGGGTGAGAGAGAGAGAGAGAGAAGGGGTGTGGGTGTGGGTGTGGGTGTGGGTGGGGGTGGGGGTGGAGGGTGGGGGGAGAGGGCGAGGGAGTGGGGGTCATTGCCATCTATTTATCGAGTATGTATTTTAAGTTGATGGGTTTGCCTGAATTTGTTGTTTATATTTGTGTCATGTAGAAAAGAAAAAAGGTTGATCCCTTAATGTTCTGTTATTTTGTAGATACCTTCCCGACACTATCGATGTGGCCGGAGGCAGGCAGCAGAGGTCATCTGGTTGCGAGTGTTAAGATAACAAGCACCATCCCTCGAAATGGGAAAGGAGGAGAAGAACATAGCAACATAGTTTCAAACTCCTCTCCCGTAAACATTTATTGTGGAGATATAAGGCAGGGGATTGATGGATCCGCCTTATGAAATTGTTGTGTTCATCTCCAAGACTTGGTGATAATATTGTAAATGTTGAAGCTCATCGGATCCTCTCTATATTTTTTTCAGTTGTCCTAGTATTTCATGGTTTCTTGTCTGGGATTGCTGGAGTACTTAGCTTTGATCTTGAGCACGTATACTATGCTCCCTCGGGAGCATATTAGACATTTACTCCCTCGGGGAAAACGTAACTTGGGAGATTTTTTTAGATTTGAAGTTTCGGGACTTATCTAGATGATTATTTTCAAAGAAAAATTTAGATTTTGAGTTCATAAACATCTAGATCGGATCGTCCAAAAATCGATACCGAAATAGTTGACTAGACATGAGCAAGCTTGGAAGTGATTTAACCGACCTAATCGGTAAACCAGCGATTCGACCGTTCTAACCTAACATGTCCTAAGCAGTCAAAAAAGTATTGAAATAAATAAAAAAGATGCAAAAAAAATATACTAAAATATTAAAAGTATATAAAAAATTATTAAAATAAAACACATTCAAATGAAGTTGAAAATTAATGAAAAAAATAGATTTTAACGAATCGATTTGTGCTTACTGATATTTTTAAATTTTTTTGAAAAAGATGGGAAAATATAAAAGTAAGTATTAATGATCAAAACAATTTTTAATCTTTACCACAATGTAAAGAATATTTAAAAATACAATACAAACAAAATTCCTTATTTTTGAGAATTTATATATATTTTTTGACATCTTTTTTTTGTAAATACCGATCGATCACTAAAATTGCCCAAATCCTGAACATGCCAGTTTAGATCTAACCGGGGATATCCCAAGAGTCAGTTTGGCCCTAGGGAGCAAAATAGCATTAAGAAATCTTTTGACTTGAGCTTTTCTTACCAATCATCTTGAGATGAAATTTGGGTTATTTCCATTTTCATTGGGCGCTCCTAGTAAAAATAATAAAAAATTTATTTCCAATGAATGACCAAAATACTCCTTTTAGAAGTATTTTAGTCATTTTATTTTATAAAATACTTTTTTGCATTTTTGTAGGGTACATCCATGCAAATCGTGAGCAGACCCTAAATTTGATGCGAAGATTCGTAGAAAATTTTTTAAAAAGAGAACCATGCTAGGAGTGAAATTTTAACTGAAGCTATTCCAACAGCTCATGTAGATAAGATGGCTGCGAATAAGAGTCAAATATATTCTATATGTGGGGGAAGCCACAAAATATTTTCCTTTTCATAATATTCACACATTATGGTCCTATTTGTTTGTTATTACCCCTTTTTTTCTAACTTTTTACCCCTTTTTCTTTTTTTATTTTGCTTAAACACGAGGTTTTGCGTAATGCGGTCCACATTATAAAACAAAAAAGGACCAACCCCATACCCTTTCATTATAATCATTTTCCGAAACTTTTTACAAAGAACTTATACAATAAAACCATTTATCTTTAATACAAAAAGCTCACAGTCACTCCCTACCCTTTAGCCACCACAAAATCCGATTGTGGTGTGGCAAATAACCCACTCAAAATCTAAAAATAGTTTTTTGAACTTTGTGATACACCCCTAACTACTTTATTTTACGACTAACAGCTAGGAGTGACTATGATCTACTTGTATCATAGATAAACATCATTATAATATACAATCTCTTTTACCAACGGCCTATGATCAAATTCTGTGCCAAAAGGCCAAAACTCATGTCCAACCCATTTACCCAAGCCCACAAAGCCCAGGAGGCAATCCAAGAACAAAGGGCTCTACTAGAATTAGACACTCGTGAACTGTAAGCTCCTCTAAATATCATTACAATACAGAGTCAAAAATGGGATAATCAACGCATATTTATACAACCTTTTCTCAAGATAAAAGGTTTAATCGACTGCACCAATAATTATACAGATGGGGGGAAACGGCCGGACCCTTTTCTCCTCCTCCGCCTCCGTTGCCTCATTCTCCAAAAGCTTAGGCACAAACTCAGGCCTGTGAAACATTCACATGGACTGATGTGAGTTCAATGATTTCATACAACAGCTGTGAGAAAAAAGATTCCAGCCCATGGGCGAGTGTTAGTTGGGCCCCGAGTTATGTACACATGTTGATCTCATCCTATTGATAAAAAAGATGAAATAGCACAAAAAAAAAATCCAAAATGAGTCCGGCTTTTTCACAGAATTCAAGCTGTCCATTTTATGAATGGCAGACCTAGGCCTTCAAGATTCCAATCAATGTTTCCTTTTGAAATTGATTTTTTTTATCTATCAGATTACATCTAAAGAGTTGAATTATTCAACGTCACAAAATATGCAAAATTTCAGCACAAGGAAATCCCTCTAGCTATGTGATCTGGACAACTGGCTTATACTATAGTCCCATGTGTTCATAGAACTTCTTCAGATAATTATATATGATAAAACTACCCTTTATAAAGCTAGCATCCTTTTTCGTATGGGAAAGTATATCAACCGGTGTTGTAGACCATGAGGACATCCACCATACAATGAGCTAAGGTTAATCCCAACCATTGGCCAAAGGTGTCCTCAAGGTATATCACACACCAATTGCCTATGGTTGACTATTTTTATTTCAATAAGAAATAGTAGTTCCCGAAATTACCAGTGAGGGCAAGGGCTGCAGGAACAAGAATGGGAATATCAATCTGCAAAACCAACACGCAAAAGACACAAATTAACCGGAAGTCATTTGAAGATATATGAAGAACGAAAATATGGACTTCATACTAAGTTGAAATAATGGTAATATGTTCTGGTCATTTGAAGTGTCATTGAGAGATGTCAAAACTAGTGACAGGTTCAACAAGGAAAAGAAATGAAATTTTGTGTAAAATAAAAAAGGCATAATGATAAAACATATAAAACGGAACAGAACTGAGCACATGGAAACATTAAAATGCTTGATGAGAAAAACAAAGTGCGTAATGCGCACAAATGAGAGACAGAGAGACAGAGAGAGAGAGAGAGAGAGGAGGGAGGGAGGAGAGAGAGAGAGAGAGAGAGAGAGAAGAAGAGAGAGAGAGAGAGAGAGAGAGAGAGAGAGAGAGAGAGAGAGAGAGAGAGAGAGAGAGAGAGAGAGAGAGAGAGAGAGAGAGAG